TCCGTAGCGTGGCGCTACGGACGGCGGGAAAGTAGTTCGGCTGCCCGATGACGTTTTACGTATTATAGGAGTTATTTTTACCGTTGTTTACGGATACTGCCACAATTTTTATAGGAATCATAACTATAGGAAACGGTTTTATAGGGGGATCTACTGTATTCAAATGAAGCTGCGTCAGATCGTGACGAAATTAATGAAGCAATTATTAATTGTAATAAAAAAATGGACCGTTATCTTCCGTTAAAATGTACAGTAGACCCCTATAACGCGAGTTCCTATAACGTAGATTCCTATAACGCGGCGAAAAAATTGCGACAATATTCGTATAAAGACGCTAAGAAGGATGCATAAAACGCGGTAAAATGTCATCGCCAACTCGTCATCGCGGACGAGCAGCCGAACTACTTTCCACCGTCCAGCGCCACGCTACGGAGAGTTTAGGCGGGTAAATTGAGTTTACTATCGTCTGTACAGTATTATATATAAATTATATATAAATTAGGTACTGTATATATAATTATATATTAACTTATTGTAACTTTGTTATAATTAAATATATAATTTCCGCCGTCTAGCGTGGCGCCACGCTACGGAGATTTTACGCTAACTATCGTCTGTACAGTATGTAAATTAGGTACCGTAAGTCTAATACAGTACTGTAATTTTATACATTTCTTGTGAAAGAAACATTTCTTATTCAACGGCGATTAAAATTATTTCTATTAATGATGTCTCCAAAGTTCAACGAAGTTTTCGCAGAAAAATAACATCGCGGAACAGCGCAGCAAATCGCGGCCGCGGTTTGCTGCGCTGTTCCGCGACGAAACCAAGCTTTAGCAACGGCTATGTCGAATGGTGCACACTCGGTAAGTAATCCTAAACTTTTTGTTTATAGCGTAGTTTATACGGATTATTTCCAAAAAAATATACGTATTTTGGAAATGTTGAGTCGGATTAGTCTAGAATTGATTAATTTTATGGAAGAAAACCTTTCAAACAGCCGTAGTCTGTAAACTTCACACGTGTCGGGCTGCGATTGGTTCATGTATTTAAGGATTCCTACGACGCGAAATTCGTATAACGAGGAACGTATCTTTGCGTTATAGGGGGTCTACTGTATTCGGAATCTGTTATACCGATGCATGATAATTTTACATTTCGAAGTCATTTTAGAATGAGTTAATTATTTGAATGAGAGAATAACATTGTGATTGTTATAATAATATACGTTTAGTCCAACACGGGCAGCCATCTTGCAAATTGTACAATGAGACAAAAACAATGACGTCACTAGTAGAAATTAGCATAGATAAAAGAAGCTGACTGAACTAGCTACAATTCTAGCGGTGGGAGAAGTCAAGCAGTAGTTAGAAACGAGTTCAACATCGCAGCATAACTAGACTTAGCAAAAATTCAGGGGTCGTATTCTGGTCATCGTCTCTGGTCTCTTGTCTCTCACAAGCCGGTCGCTGATTGGCTAATCATTTGGATTAGCCAATCAGCGATTGTCTTGTGAGAGACGAGAGACCAGAGACGGTGACCAGAATATGGCCCCTGCGTTACTGAACACGGCCCTGGTAATCTACCGACTCTGCTTCGGGTGGACAGTTATTTCTATCATTTCATCTTTTAATTCACAGTTTAAACACTCTAGTAGATTTAGAAACATCGATATCGTCGGGCACCATTTTCTTAACGAAGTGAACTCTCTTTCCTTCGTGAACTTCGTTAGAGTTTCGTTCGAAACGTCATCACTGCAAAGCATGCGCACTGAGCGAGACTACTACTTTTCGAACGATTTGTTACTAACGCGTTTAACTCGTTCGACTTTACGAACCTGCCCCTTAAGGTACGTTCGTAAAGTCGAACGAGTTAAACGAGAATGACGTCATCGTTATTCTTATTTAGTTAGACTTTTCGAACGATTCGTTTATAACTAAATGGATGTTTCTAAAATCGAAGATATGAATGTTGTTAGTGCAGCCTTATCCGAAATATTTTTCTTAGATTGCTTCGTGTGGACAGTTATTCTAATCATTTCACCTTTTAATTCACAATTTAAACACTCGAGTAGATTTAGAAACATCGATATCGTCGGCCGCCATTTTCTTAACGAAGTGAACTAACTCTTTCCTTCGTGAACTTCGTTAGAGTTTCGTTCGAAACGTCATCACCGCAGAGCATGCGCACTGAGCGAGACTATTACTTTTAGAACGATTCGTTACTAACGCGTTTAACTCGTTCGACTTTACGAACGTACCCTTAGTTTCATACGTTTGAAGTTGAATTCTGGTCTGTTAGATTATTATTTTGTTATCCTATTATTATTTTTTAATCTGGTATTTATATCAAATATCTGAATAAAACAATTGTAAAAATTATTTTTAGAGTATTTAGCACGCAAAAATAATACAATTACTAATTTTTTTCAAAATTTAAATTTTTTATACGTTAAAAATGTATGTATTTTCGTTATACCAAGAAGTAAAGTGCAGGTGTCGCTGAAGTAAACTATTTTGGTTTATTCGCATCGTTTGTAATTTTTTGTAGGTATTGATGGCTGGCGGTAGAAGAAACTCGTCGAAATCTGGTTGTTCGAAAGCACAACATGTTGAAGATAGGTACATTTCAACCCAGCAATTAAATACTTTTAATAATTAAATAAGTTTATAATATAAATTCGTCTTGAAAATTTGCACTAACAGATGTGAATTAGCAATAACAACAGAGTCGTGTTTATTTTTTCACTCATCAATTGTACACCCCTGTGCGAGTGCGTAATTAATGATTTTTCTTTTTGGTCTCCAAAAAGAAAAATCATTACTTACGCGCTCGCACAGGGGTGTACAATTCTGGGGTGGGTGGGGAAATCCCTCATTCAGAGTTCGTGTTATCACTTAGAATTTGACCATTGAAATAGAAAAGGATTACAGTGAAATTCTGTTAACTCAGTATGCCGGCAGACTGGTAAGCTGGCTTGTCAGGATTATTGGTGCATTGTTCTTTGCCATCATTGTTGATGACTTCCGATATAAACATGGTGAAAACAGAGGAAGATTGAGATGTGATGCTGCTTGAGGTAAAACTAGTTAGTTTGTGCATGATTTATTTAAAGACTTTTTCAAAGACATTAGCACATGGGTTTGATATGAGAAACAGAAATATTTGGCATGCTTGGAATCCATAAATATCCTGGTAACAGCTATGGTATGTTACTGTTCGTGTACTTTGATAATTAGAATACGTCTGTATTTATATGCAATTAAAGTGTACAAAGCACAAAGTAAGAATTGTGTGTTTTTCTTTCACACCGACCAAGGGTAGGAATAATCTGAAAAAATTGAAATGGTGTGTTAAACAATCAGAAAAGGCATATTTGTATTGTTTTACATGTGAAGATGTATAAAATTTGATAAGGAGGCATAATTGATAATCTGACACTGTGTTGGTTCCAACAATGCCGGATTAATGGAATTTCACTGTATTTTGTTGTTTTGACGTATAGGAAGCCAACACCAATTCCCATATATGTACATGTGATATTCAAAGGATAAATTCATCGTTGATAAAATCAGAACTGTAAATGATCTCTCTACATTGGCAATCTCTAATCTGTTGCCTGCAGACTGGATCTGGCTTACTGAAACCACATAATATTTATAATCAACAACTGAATGATTGAGATGGTAAAGGTGTTGGTTTGCCACTCTGAGAAGCCCAAATTCCAGTTTGGCTTGGATAGTTCAGGAATTTTTATAGATATTCTCTTCTGGATATGTTGGACCCTCATTGCACAGCTGCCTCACATTATGGGCTTGGCCAAATCCACAAAGTATATGACTGTAAAGGCCTTTTTAAGCGTTTTTCACATTGAAGTGTCAAAAATGAAAAAGTTATTTATAATCAATAAGTTGATTAAGCTATTGATAGTAATTGTTAATTTACTTTTATCACATTATATATGTGGTATGTACAGTTTCCAGAAATATGATTAAGAGTAACAAAAATACTATTGATAGTAATTGTTAATTTA